GGCAGTTACATTTATGTGTTGGGATGGACTGATAGCCAAAACCAAGGTTTAACTATTTGATAATTCGCCTTTTAAAATTCTTAGCGGCACAAATGATCTTGCTAAAAAGCTTATTGGGCTTTCGGAATTTAGCAATGAAAAAATATTTTTTACTTCTCTGCACCCCTTATTTTCGTATATTTTTAAACTTGCTAGTTTTACTATATGTAAGACTGGTCTTCTTGCGACGATAAGTTGTTCTGCGTAGCGACGCCTACGATCTTCTTAGGGCATTGTGTAGCTGCGTGGCCAACCTCAGAACAGTTAAAGCAAGCATTTGGTGGCCTCTTCGGTTGCTGACAACCATTGCTTATATGGCCAGCTTGATTACAGTTGTAACATTGTTTTTATATTCAATACATGAAATGACAGGAGTATATTAGGTTTGCGGGAGCTGAAAAATGTAACAGGCAGAAGGAGGCGTGACAGACCCCACAAAGTATATATATTCTTGATCAGCATGACGAGACAAGTCGATCTAGCCCTGTCTGTCTGTCCGTATGCCAAATTTCACTATGATAGACCGATTTAACAAGAAGTTGTAGCCATAAATATATTTGCTGCTGAGGCGCTGCTCAAGCGCTGCCCGCGGCTGTTGTTGATGCTGCTGCTTTGGTTGACTGCACACATGTTTACACCGACACGAATAGGTGCGCATAGGCATAAATACACTCACACAGACGCAATTGCTATGTAAATAGAGACACCAAATTTTGCACTTATGTGTAAATTCGAACTCCAAAGGGGGGAAAACAATTTTTCAATCGATCGACTTCAAACTTAGTTTGTATGCTCTCAGAGAAATTCTAAGAAAAACTGCATACTTGGTTTTTTGGAAATTTTACTTGGGGCCTGAAATATGGGTCTTTTCGAGATTTCGGGATTTTTGAAAATTCGAGCTCAAAGGGGGGAAAACAAGCTACAAAGTTTGTTTGAAAGACCCACATTTTTCAACCGATCAACTAAAAACTTGGTTTCTAAAATCAATTAACAAATACAAATGAAAGTGCTTACTCGGTTTTTTGAAATTTGTTTTGGAGCTTGAATTATTGGGGTTTTAATATTTCTTCACTTTTTTTCAAATGAAAAGTTGGTGTTATAAATGTTGTCCGATAGATTTAAAATTTGGGGCTCGTAATCTACATAACTACATCTACAAATTGGCATTCAACGATTATAGAAACATTCAACAAAATATAGAAATATGTTTTTTTCTTGCCATCATTTGGAGCAACAACAAATAACAAAGTACGCAAATATCAAATACAATAGTTGGGGACATCACATACACACACTCACACACACAACAAGCAACAGTTCGTGTATATGTATGCGGTTCTCTACATAATTGATTGTAATAAATAATGTTCTATGGTTTTATATCAAAGTTTTTAAACTAAAAACAACAACAAATTCAAGTTATTGGATTCTTTCGTTTTGATAATTTACGCCTTTTTATTGCAGATGCAAAATGCCAAAAGTTTACAGTTACCGTCGCTAGGCAACGTCTGGGTAAGCGATAGTAAAGCAGAAGCCGAAAACGGACCTACATACGCATATTTTGCTTCGCATTGCGGGCAGATGTATGGCTCGCTCTTATTTTTCGCTGAAAGTTTACAGTTAGCCTTGGTCGCTTGCCGCTTACTTTGTTTTTTGTCGCAATAGTTCTCGCTACCTGCTGTTAGGTATGGATATAAATTTGTATGTACCATATATATTTGTAAATATATGCATATAAGCATATATAAACAAACACATATGGCATCAAAAATAAAATGGCGACATTTCTAGCATACACATGTACTATGTGTGTTTGTACAAACATATTTAATAATGAAACGGATTCATACATACATATGTATGCATACATATGCACATACATAAACTCATACATATGTATAGTAGAAAAATAATTTAACTACTATAAACTATGAGAGAGGCAGAGAAATTATGCAATTCATGTACATATGTATGTGTATGTATACATATACATACACACATACTTACATATGTGATAAAACTAGCAAAGTAGTCAACCGCCGACTATCGATTGTCTGTAGAAAAAAATCGATGTTTTTTTGATGCGATTTGATGCATCACCATATTTCGTCGATGTATTGCGATATATCAATGAAAAATATCGATGTTTTCGATAAATCGCATTTAATTTTAATATATATAATCAGAACAGAAAAGCGTACGTTAGTATTTAATTAAATAAAGCTTTATTGTTATGTCTCATTGGTTTTGAGGAAAATTTTTCAAAAACAATATTTTATTTATTTCATTTTTGATATTCAAATTTAAATTAATTTACCTGGACTTTAAAATTTAAATGAAATTTGCACTTAGCAGATTTATAGCTAACATTATCGTAATAATTCTATACGACACCTTTTTTGTTTGGTGCCATGATAATTGATTTCTGTATACAAAATAACATAATTAATTAAATCAAGAATGGCTAAAAGTAAAAGCAATCTTAACAAAAACAATTTGTACGGCTCAGCACATTCAAAGAAGAAAATGCAAACGTATGTGTTACACGTGTACATACGGCGTGCAACAGACATGATCCACTTTGCTTTGGCGCTGTTTGCACGATTGTGCAATTGTGCAGCTTTACACATACTATTTAATCTTTCAAGTACATTTAATACATGCATTTAAAAAAAATTACGTCTCTTTGTCTATTTAGACTGAAATATATTTATGTTTTATAAAAGGCGTGCGCCCAAAGTCAGAAATCAAACTCGATTTTCGATGCATCAATTTATGTCTGATATTGATAACAAGCTCGATATTTCGAAAGCAAATATCGATGTTTTATTGCACATCGGTGTATATTGCGCATCCCTACCGACGGCAGAACGATACGGCTCGAACGTTGAAGCAAAATAAATATTTTCGAATTACGGATTCCGTACCTTCCTGAAAATTATTTATTGTTTGTAGTGAATTTATGCCATGCGTTAGTGTCATTTATTGTGATTAGCTAATTTTTCAAGTGAAACTGTGGTAGCAAGTCGCAAACAAGTGCACATATTATAAAATCTAAGATACTTTTATTGAAATCTTCTGTTAATTGCATTCAAACTTCTATGGAACTATCGATAGTAGCGGTAGATTCAACTATCGAAAGTCTGGCAAATTGAGATGGGCAGTTTTAGTGCTTTTTGAAAAGACACAAATGTGAATTTAAAATTAGGATATACTCTTATAATTATTCCCCTTTTTGGCACATAGTCTATTTTAAAACGTTGCGTTATCTCTATATATATCAAACAGTTTGTCCTGACTGACTGACTGATTGCTGGTCAACGCACAGCCCAAACGGTAGCGCTGAAATTTGGACTCAAGTATCCTTTTATAACGTAGGTGCCCACTAAAAAAAGATGAAGAACACAAATAAAACTGCATACTCGGTTTTTGAAATTTGTTTTGGAAACTAATTAGTTAAGGCTTTCATGGGGCACAAAAGAAAATCGAAAATTTTCATTTAAATACCTTGGACTGGTCTAATAAGGTGAAAACATATGCACATACAAAATAAATATAATTTGAAACATTATATTGAGACGGGTTAAGACGGGCAATACCTGCTAGTCTCTTCTATAAAAATTCGGCAAGCTTTGGGGGGTTTCCAACATGGCCTCGGAATCATACATATGTGTTTGTCTGCAGTTCTGCTAAGCGTTTCCGGGTAATATACACGTCACACATTCTTTGCAGAATGTTCCGAGATGTTGGTTCTTGCCCGTGTTCGCAGCAACATTCTGTCACCGACGCCATTTTTGTGCATGCGGACTAGAGCCAGTTTCCATTTCTTGTGAAATACATTCTTGTGAAATTACTTCAGAGAACTTGCATATCCATCCAGTGCTATTTTATGCTGAGCTTGTTCAGATATACATATATTAATGTAGATTGGCGAAGAAGTGGAAGGGCTCACCCCACATCTGAAGTGTAAAATGTAAAGACTTTATTTTCGATATTTAGCAACTTTTTATACTCTGTACATGAAATGTACAAGAGTATATTAGGTTTGCGCGAGCTGAAAAATGTAACAGGCCGAAGGAGGCGTGGCAGACCCCACAAAGTATATATATTCTTGATCAGCATGACAAGACGAGTCGGTTTAGCCCTGTCTGTCTGTCTGACCGTCTGTCCGTCCGTATGAACACCTAGATCTCAGAGACTATAAGAGATAGAGACACCAAAGATTGCACAAAGATGCCTTATGTGTGTATTCTATACGAGTTTGTTTTATTTTTTTGATTCCCCCCCCACTTCCCCCCTATGGGGGTTTTTCCGTAATGCCGTTCGTATAATCGCCTATATCTCGAAGACTATAAGACCTAGGAACACTAAATTCTAGTCCAAGGTGCCTTGTGTGAATACGCAGAAAATGTATATTTTGGAATTTCCCTCCCTCCCCCCTCTCCACCGCAAATGCGATTTTCTCTAACTCCCGTAATTCTTGGAATTTCGAACTAAAATTTTGGAAATACTCCCAGTTTGTAATTATGTGTCCGTATGCCAAGTTTCACTATGATAAACCGATTTAACAAGGAGTTATAGCCATAAATATATTTGCTGCTGCAGCGCTGCTCAAACGCTGCCCGCGGCTGTTGTTGATGTTGCTGTTTGGTTGACTGCGAAAATGCTTACACAGACACGAATATATGCGCATAGGCATACATACACTCACACAGATGCAATTGCTATGTAAATGTGCAATTATACACCCTTTACGTGAGTTCGAATACCGAGAAAGGTAAAATCGATCATTGAATTTTTTTTTATTTTCTTAATTTTTTTTATTTTCTATAATTATTGTAAACATATATACAGAGTATTTCAAAGTCTGGACACCCGACTTTAGCTTTTTTACTTGTTTTTTAAATTAATTTAAGCAAACGACCTAACACAAATTATTTACTTCTATTTCATTTCAATAGGCTATTAATATGGACAACACCGATATCAACACTTTATTCCGAATGGGTCAGTTATCATACAAATTAAGTCGTTATGAATTAGCTGAATATGCTTTTGTATCATGCCTACAACAAAATACAAAACACTTTGCTGCTGCACATGGCTTATTGATACTTTATTTAAATCAAAACAATTTAATAGCTGCGTATGGAATAGCATCAAAATTATTTAAAAATAATCAATGTTCCAAGCTGCTTGATGGTACCGTTTATGACATCTTCCATAGATTTTCAAGTTTCATTCCGTATTGCGATAAGTTGTTTGGAAGGATTCCAAATGAAGCAATTGAATCTCTCGATCGACCCATTTTTAATACACTTCATGAAGCTGAACCCACGATTAAGCCGTTAGAATATGAAACAACTGTAACAAATGAACAACCAGAATTTTTGAATTTGTATTCTATTGGAGAATTTATTTTATTGAAGCTGAACTACTTAAAAGAAAATCATTTGGATCTGCCTCTTGCATTCAGTCTTAAGCCCGTAAACATTGTTGAGAAGAAAAATAGTGTGCAACAGATCTCTGAAGTAGAAGATACCCAAAGATACGTATATACTGAAATCAGTGATCCGAGCTTTGATAATGTCGGGACTGATATTTTTGAGGCCGACATGGAAGGAAATGATTTAAGATCCGACGAAGATATTGAAAAACCGAAACCTCGAAGAAGATGTAGCGACCTACGACTTCTTGAACAGTGGGGGTGGCATAAAAACCGGAAATCATCCTCACGTAGGAAAACCCAATCGGAACGCACAGAAATAGATATCTCACTAGCCGGGTTCCTCCGGAAAACTTTCACACCATTCTTAAGGTGAGTAAGCAGTTACTTAATCATTTTGATAAACAAGTTTGTTTCGCCTTTTCAACGTCGCAAGTTAGTACACCATGTGTTACAGTGTGATGGAAGTAAAGAAAAATTGTTGAACATATAATCAAAAAAAAAAAAACGTTCTTTGTGACGTTGCAAAGTGGATATTCAGTTGGTCTAATGTTTGTTACGCCGTAAAGAGGCGTATTAGACCTATAATTATACATAAGTATTTAAATCTTGACCGCGATTTATATTTGTGCTCCGCCATAATTTTGAAGTAAAACTTCTTATGTGAGGGGTTTGTCAGCTGGATCAGCAACTGACAAATGGCATCCTCCCAGATCTTTCGGCACTAGCAAAAAGAAAGCTAATAGACATTTCTAAATTCATCTGGGCGTCCGGATGGATGTAACAAATGCGCAAAAATGCAGCCAACCACGGGAATATAGAAAGCGGATTTGTCCCCGCGGTACCACAACGGTGCCAAATAATCATGGCCAAAGTGAGTCAGGGTTTTATAAACTTTGGTTGCCGCACCTACCTAACATTGTCATTTTTATACTCTGTACATGAAATGTACAGAAGTATATTAGGTTCGCGGGAGCTTAAAAATGTAACAGGCAGAAGGAGGCGTGGCAGACCCCACAAAGTATATATATTCTTGATCAGCATGACGAGACGAGTCGATCTAGCCCTGTCTCTCTGTCTGTCCGTCCGTATGAACACCTGGATCTCAGAGACTATAAGAGATAGAGACACCACATTTTGCACAAAGATGCCTTATGTGTGTATTCTATACGAGATTGTTTTATTTTTTTGATTTTCCCACCCACTTCCCCCTATGGGGGTTTTCCCGATTTTCCATTCGTATAATCGCATATATCTCGGAGACTATAAGACCTAGGAACACCAAATTTTAGTCCCAGATGCCTTATGTGAATACGCAGAAAATGTTTATTTTGGAATTACCCTCCCTCGCCCCTCTCCACCGCAAAACGCGATTTTCTCTAACTCCCGTAATTCTTAGAATTTCGAACTAAAATTACCAAATACCCCCAGTTAGTAATTATGTATGTTTCATCATGATAGACCGATTTAACAAGAGTTATAGCCATAAATATATTTGCTGCTGCAGTTCTGCTCAAGCGTTGCCCGCGGCTGTTGTTGATGCTGGTGCTTTGCTTGACTGCGAACATGCTTACACAGACATGAATAGACGCGCATAAACATACATACACTGACATAGACGCAATTGCTTTGTTTGTGTGCAATTATACACCCTTTACGTGAGTTCGAATACCAAAAGAGGTAAAAACGATCAATACTTTTTTTTTTATTTTCTTAATATGCAATTTTCGTAATATGCAATTTTATTTAATTTCTATATTTATTGTATACATATGTACAGCGTATTTCAAAGTCGGGACACCCGACTTTAGCTTTTTTACTTGTTTTAATTTGGCGTCAGTGCACTGCACATTATTGTTGCAATTATTTTCTATTTTCTTTTAAGCAGCTCCCTTTACTTACGGAAGGTTTTGTGTGTTTTGTTCGCGGTAACCATCTCATTGTGCACTCAGCCTTGTTGTTGTTTGTGGTTGCTGTTTGCAGTACCTAAAAGCTTATCTCAGCGCCGCTCAGTTTTTGTTTACAACATTCTTCTTAAGCTTTCCGCTAACTCACTTACTTAGATCATTCACCTTTGTGTTAATTCCGACCACATTGTCGTGCTGCAACAAGTCTTGCGCAGTTAAAGATGCAATTGATTCTGATGAACTTCGGTTTGTTAACTGTTGGTTGTGCGAGAATTTTATGCATATTAAATGTGCAGGATTAAGTGGTCGTGACCTCGACAAAATTTACTCACCTAAAAAGGCTGTGGTGGTTTGAAGTGGTCATGCCCTGTATGCATTGACATCCAATTTAATTTCTCACGTATGTATAATAACGTGAAAAATAAATTTTTGAAATTGCAAAAAATAATTTAGCAACTTTCAGCGCCGCCGAAGGGTAGGATAGGGCCTCAATTTCTAGAGGAACCGCCTTGCCCAAGCTCACCAGTGATTTACGATTTATCGCCAGCAATCTCGTTGTCTGCTTGCAATGCTAATTTGTTTTGAAATTTCCCCCATACATTCTCCTGCTCAGGTTACTTTGGTCCCGTGGATAGAACCTCCTGCAGTAAGCAAGACAGCAACTGCCTCGAAAGCTTTTAAGCAAGCTTTCTCTGCCAAATGTTTCGAATTTTCCCCGCAGTTTCATCACTAGCTGCAGAAAGTGCTACAGTTCCAGCTCTTCTTGAGCCCCCAGATCTTACTGTTATAGCTCCCAGAAGACAAGTTTTTGTATCTTCTGATACCACATGCCAATCTATAGTATAGCAGCCTAGTGTGTCTATTTCGAAGTTCAGTTTTGCTGAGCCCTGTTCCGCCTGAGGCTTTTAAAATTATATGTAATCCAAAATGTTTGCCTTCACAGAAAAAACGAGTTTCGTCACTGCCTGTTGATTGCGTTTTCATAAACGTAGTTAAATCCTACGATTTGTGATAACGAAATTTTATCAGATCACTTTTGTATCTTTCGTCGTGATTGTCTGAGTCGTCGAGGTGGAGGCTTACTGATTGCAGTCAAATCCAACCTTCGGTCGGAAATCATTAATGTAGATGTACCAAATGATATTGAATTTGTTCCTGTTAAAGTCATTTTCCCGTCATTTGCATTAGCTTCCTCTTCCGATATTCAGGTTTATATGCAACATATAACTTGTATTAATGTAATTTCCACTCATCTCCGTGACAGTGACGCGTTTGTTGTGGTAGGTGATTTTAATTTGCCTAACATAGAATGGTCATTTTTCAATGAGTCCAATTATTAGGTGCCCTCAGCAGAGCATGCATTTTTGGATTGCCTGTTGGACCTTTCCTTGTTTCAAATTAATTTTATACCTAATCACCTAAGCAAAATGCTTGATCTTGTCTATGTCACTGACCCTAGTTGCGCAGTTGTCTCTAAGTCTTCACCTCTGTCAGTGGCTGAAGATACTTAGAGTGGAAATCTCCCTATAATTTTCAAAATGTCGATTCTTTCTCAAAGGAAATTTTTCTTAGACAATATTCCTAGTTGTGTACTCAAGGAGTGTTCTACAAGTATAAAGCCATTTCGGGCTCAAAAAAATTCAGTGTAAGAACCACAGTGCACAGTACGACAAGTGCAAATCAAGCCACGTCAAATTTTAAATCCACAGCCTGGTCCACTCATTCTCAACTAAGACTACTCGTCTTTAAACTAACACTATGAAGCTTTAAGAAGTTTGTACCTTTCAACCACATGTTTGTCAGCAAGTCAGAAGCACGACAACCACGCGAAATGATATCTGCCCAGTTCTTGGTTGAGGGAACGTGCCTCCAAATGACATTTGAACATTCTTGCAGCTCGGCTACCCTGTTGGCAACCAAGAATTGCAGCTTCGAGGAGTGCATTTGAATCCAAAAATAGACCTGTTTCACATAAATGTCCAGTTGGCTTTAGAATTTCCGCCAAACTCGGCTTAGTAGAAGGGCGCCACAAAGTTCAAGTGTCGGTAACGATTGGACTTTCATTGGCGCCACCTTCGATTTTGCCACTGGAAGGTTGACTTCTATGCCATGCGTAAGATGTGCGCGAACATATATGCAGCAACCGTATGCTCTCTCGGAAGCGTCTGCGAATCCATGTATTTCGCAGCGACGCGTCGGAGATGTGAAACAATATCGTGGAATTTTCAACTTGGCTAGATCTTTCAGATCTTTTTGCAAGTCCATCCACCTGTCACGAATAACTCCATCAACAGGAATGTCCCAATCGAGCCCCTTTAAAGTCAAATCTTGAAGTAAAATTATACACCGTATAATTACTGGGCCGATGAACCCTAGAAGATCGAAGGTCCGAGCGATTCGTGAAAGAATATTGCGTTTGGTCATTGGCCCATTTTCCTGGTGTCCGTAATAAAATACGAATACAATACGACGAGGTTGCCATGCCACTCCAAGTGTTTTCGTAACATCTTGATCCTTAAGCGCGATAAAAACATCGTTTTCAGACGTTCGTATAATGTCTGTTGAATTGCTGCTGAATTTTGTAAGTTGTAATCCTGCTTTAGAAAGGATCTTTACCGTTTCATCCTTTTTCTCTTGTAATTTGGATAGCTCGCCAGCACCCGTGAGAACATCGTCCACGTATAAGTCACTGCGTAGTGTAGCAGCACCTTCAGGGAACTCAGACTCATATAAGTCCGCAATATGATGAATGATTCTTATCGCAATAAATGGAGCTGCTGACGTTCCATATGTTATAGTGTTGAGTTGATACGTTTGAAGTTCATGCGACGTGTCACGCCGCCTCAGTATCCATTGGTAGCGCCTGTCTCGTTCATCTACCCGGAATGTGTAATCGAAAAGACAAGAATGTAGTAATTAAGTCTTGTTGAATCGTGGGTCCCACCCTTAGAAACTCGTTCAGGGATATACCCCAATGTGTTTTAGCTGATGCATCAAATACGACGTGAAGTTTTGTCGACAAACTTTGTGGTCGTAATATGCAATGGTGTGGAATATGAAATTGCGACTCGGCTTGTGTCCGAGGTCTATGTACTCATTCATAAATTCGGCGTATAATTAACTTAGCTGATCATAGCGATACAGTTTACGTTCTAGTGATTTGACACGCCTGAGTGCATTTATTTATGATTCTCCCAGTGTGGAGAATTCCGTGAGTGGCAATCTAACTTGTATTCGCCCTGTAGGGGTCTGTGAGACTCTGTTTCGAAAATGCTCTTCACAAAGACTCTTTTTCGTCTGTGAAGATTTCGCCGGTAGAAGACTGCTTCTACCTCCCAGAACCTTTGAACCAACGAATCTAGCCGTGTTTCATGAAGTAACACTGCTGAACATGCGTGTCAGTGCCCATGTTGCCCCGACGATCCACCCATATTCAGTGTTTACAATGTATGGCATATCTTTACC